CAATTCCTACTCCAGGTGGATTGCGTTTAGTCATAACTCTCCACTATGCCGTCTAGGGTGTCCCTGCACAGCATAGCGCATAGCTTCTCTGAGTTACTCAAGCCCCTTCGCCACGTCAAGGCAGCAATCCATGAAGGAGCTGGAACACATAGATATCAACAAATGCTGGGTTTCCTCCTTTGTGGTGCTTTGCCAGGCCTTCAATGCATCTATCTTCAGTTGTTTTTCATGGGTCTTTCTGCCTTAGGTTTTGTCTTCAAAAAGTGAAATGCATGTTCAATTGGGTTGAGATCAGGTGACTGACTTGGCCATAGCAGAGTATTCCACTTTTTTTGCCTTAAAAAACTCCTGGGTTGCTTTCACAGTATGTTTGAGTCATTTTACATCTGTAAAGTGAAACACTGTCCTATCAACTTCGCTGAATTTGGCTGAATCTGAGTAGACAATTTATCCCTATACATTTCAGAATTCATCTGCTACTTCTATCACATCATCAATAAACACTAATGCCATTGGAAGCCATGCATGCCCATGCTATCACATTGCCTCCACAGTGTTTTACAAATTATGTGGTATGCTTCAGATCATTCATTCATTCATTTATTTAATTTATATGCCACCCACTCTACCCAAAGGTCTCTGGGCGGCTGTTCCAAGCCTTCTCCATACTTCTTTCTTCCCATCATTCTGGTATAGGTTGATCTTAGTTTCATCTTTTCAAAGAAGGACGTTTCAGAGCTGGGCTAGCTTTTTAAGTTTTTTTTTGGGGGGGGGGGCAAAGTCTAATCTGGGCTTTCTATTCTTGAAACTTATGAATGGTTTGCACCTTGTGGTGAACACTCTGTATTTGCTCTCATGAAGTCTTCTCTTTGTGGTAGACTTGGGTAATGATATGCCTACCTTCTGAAGAGTGTTCTTTACTTGGTAGAATGCCTTTTTGCTTTGCAGAGTTCACCAGTGCGTTTTTTCTCAGAATGTTCTACACTGTTGATTTGGCCACTCCTAATGTTCCTGCCATCTCTCTGGGGGATTTCCCACCCTTTTCCTTTCTTTCCCTTTTTTTCTTTTCTTTCCTTTCCTTTTTTTGTTTTTTGCTTTGTCTGCAGCCTAAACATAGCCTGTTTCACTTGCTCTGAGTCTTTTCTTTTCTTTTCTTTCCTTTTTTTTGTTTTTTGCTTTGTTTGCAGCCTAAACATAGCTTGTTTCACTTGCTCTGAAAGCTCCTTTGAGCACATGTTGTGGGTTCAAGCAACAGCTTCCAAATGTGAACACTACACCTGGAATCAACTCCAGATGTTTTACCTGTTTAATTAATGATGAAATAACAAAGGAATAGCCCACACCTGTCCATGAAACAGCTTTTGAATCAATTGTCCAATTACTTTTGGTCCCTTGAAAAAAGAGAGGCCTACATATTAAAGAGCTGTAAATCCTTCCCCCAGTTTGGATGTGAATATCCTCAAATTAAAGCCGAGAGACTGCACTTTAAGCCCATATTTATTGTTTAATTGTAACTTGAATTTACTTTGGTAAGCAGCCAAAATAATGAAAATGTCAGTGTCCAATCATTTCTGGACCTAACTGTATATTGTAATGGTCATCACATCTTGTGGTAGTAAACTCTACAGCAGTGTGTGAACAACTATGTATTTCTTTTCCCATGTCCTGATTCTTACATCGTTCAGTCTCATCAGATAATATCAGGTTCAAGTAATGCCAGAGACAGAGAGTTTCTCCCTATCTGCTTTCCTGGCACCACACATAATTTTATACCCCTAATTTTATACCCCTCTATCTGTATGCTATCTTACTTGCCTTTTACCAATCCACTATATCTAAGTTCTTCTCCAACCCCAAGCGCTTGAACTATCCAATCTCAGCTCAGAGACTTCTAGCATTAGCACAAAAGTACAGCATCCTGTCGTCCAATGGCTTTCAATGGAGAAAACAAAAAATCACCAAAAATTAAGGACGCCCCAGAACAACACCAAATTAAGTTTGCATAGGTTTCAGGAGGTGGGCTAACAATTGCAAGCATTTAAAACACTTTTCAAACAGTTTAAGGCACTTTTACAGGAGCAAAAAGGGACTTTGCAAACCCATTCAAATGCACTGAGTCGGCTTCAATGCATTTCAATTGGGGAACCGCGTTTCCCTCAACGATGTTTCCTATGGGGATTTTCGCTTAAGGACGGCAATCCGTTCCAATTGGAACGGATTAACCGGTTTTCAATGCATTCTTATGGGAAATGGTGTTTCACAGAACTATGTTTCACAGAACGGGTTTTTTTTTTGGAACCAATTAACATCGTTGTGTGAGGCACCACTGTATTCATATTTGTTTATTTTATAAACGAATTATATAAATGTTTATTTTATAAATGTTTATTTTATAAATGAATAAAATAAACGAATATTGTATAAGTCACATGCCTTCCTGGAAATCAAAGGAAAAACCTTGTGCACTAACCTCAAAAGTAACTGAGTATGTGTAGGCAATTTTGACTTTTCCATCAGTAGCGTCATTACTTAAATCCATAGGTGGTCCTGAGCAATCAGGTTTGTCAATATTTGTGTGCTTGAAACTGTTAACAAAGATAGAGATGACAAAATCAATATATTCACCTGTTCTTCTCTACAAATCTTTAACAAAAAGGTACAAAGAAATAATACAGAACATTAAAGAAACTGACCTGCGAAGCAGCAATCTTAGCTTTCTTTTCCAGAAGAAAATAAAATATAAACAAGAAAGTACTTTCATGAAACTAAAGACTCTTTGTAGCTACTCTTGCTATTAAAATGTTTTCCAAGGTGAAGACACGGCTGACAATAACGTGCTTGTTATGTGGCATTAAGTCATTTCTAACTTATGGCAACTCTAGTAAGGTTTCCAATGTACGTATGTGAACTATTTAAGTGATGGTTTGACCAGTGCCACTCCCAGTGAGGTTCCATGGCCAAATGGGATTTGAACCCAGATCTCCTGAGCTCCAGTCCTACATTCTATCCATGACAACACTGACTCTCACCACAAAAATACAGTGTTATAATTTGGCTGCAGTTTCTTCTAGACGATGTTTAAATAACAACTGACAAGTTCATGAACATGAGAGAAAGTTTCTACAAGGATTTCCCCTCCCAGTTTCAAAGAATACTTAGGAATATTAGAATCTTGCAATAACAGAGATCCCAGAGAAAACTAGAAATTCAGTTTGTTGGGAGAAACTAATCATTTAGGAGAAACTGAGTCTTCAAATGACCTAAACAAAAGCTGTAACAGCCCTGAAGTCTCATAATTTTCCAGTCCTCAGTGGACTACTTCAGGTAAAATCAAACACCACTGTGTTACCTGATGAGGCCCATTCGTTTACCTTATCCGTCATACCACTGGAAATAAATCAACCTCCCCTCTCTGCAATTTTCTCCTAACTGACATGGCTTACTTTTACAATCTCATGTGATTCCAAGTTCACCAAAGCATATGCATTTTTATGTCCCTACTCACTTTCTCCCCATTTAAAGCCTTATAAAGGTATCACCTTCAAATGGAGTGCAGGATACTTTACCATACAAACCAAAAATATAGCTAGTTTTTGTTTGGTTTTAGTTATAATAAATAAATTATAAATTATTTAGCAAAATTTGCATACAGCAGCAAAACATTTTGATTTAAAAAGCACTATATGTATAGAGTAAAATTATATGTTCTCCCATGTGTTCGTGCTAGCAATTGATATTAAAATAATCACTTATGTCTTGGTTAAAACATAAAATAACATTTACTATTCATACACATCTATAAAACAACATAATTTATAGTGCTAAGATATTTGGTATGACAGACATAGTTTGTCTGGTAAATAATTATGTCCCTCATAGTTATACTGTTATATTTGTAATCTCTAACTGGCCCTGATACATACTGTATTATAACTACTTCTTTATTCATTTCTGAGGTACATTACATATTTGATTCTGTCCCTTACTGGGCCCTGTCAGCCCTGTGTTAGTCTATGACTTGGTTACCCCTATCAGTCTGACAGACTTCTGATTGACACGTCCTTCATATAGCAGCCTGGCTGACTACAGACTCATTCTGATTTGTTAGATAATGTTATATACTAATACAACAATCTAGTTTTAGCAAACACATTTAAACAGTTTTCAGCTATGTGAACAGCTGGAATGCACAAACTTAAAGCTACTATCTGTGGCAAAATTATTAAATTTTTAAAAACTATTTAGTCTTTTGTAAAATCACTGTTTTGAGTGAAGACCTCAATCTAACAGTTCAGCTTTCTTTCAGAGCCAGGATCACAAAGATGCTGATTTAGTGGCAACAATGTTCTCCAGTGTGTCTCACTCACTATTACTGATATAAAAATTACAGGATGCTATCAGTTTTCCCCACCCACATACTTAGTTTGCATCTAGCATGCTACATCAAGATCATGTAACCAGCATCTGAAGATGATTCTATTAACCTTTCAAAGCCGAAAGTGAGAGGGCCAATAAGACAGCTTACTGCATTTTTCCATGTATAAAACAAACTTTTTTACTTAAATAATTAGACAAAAAATTAAGGGACATTTTATACATGAAAGGCAGCTGCTTTCCTTGCCTTTTGCAAAGGCACAGGGTAAAGCAGCCGTGAAAGGGCAGCAGGATCAAAGGGGTGCAATCGTGCAAATTTTCAAATTTGGGGGTTAGAAAAGGGGGGGGCTGTCTTATACATTGGGTCATCTTATAAACAGAAAAATACGGTATTTTCTTCAAGCTGCTGACATATCATGTTTCATAATAGTAAAAGTGGCTCACCTTTTTGGTTTAAGTTTAGCTGCTACTAGTCTTGCTGTAGGTGCTTCATTTTCTACAATATGATAGACTATTTTGATGTCCACATGGTTGAAGATGTAGAAGGTATTGTGTTCATTGAACTCTGACTATATAAACATGTTAGAAAGTTAATTTAATAAAAGATTAAAGCAAGCATATGAAACATGATCTTCAATTTGGATGGCCTTTAGATTCCCCCCCTCAAAAAAACTGAAACATTTGCTAAATGACAGAACTTGCATTTTGCAGAATTTTAGCCTTCTAAACCCTTTCCCTTAATGTGAAATGTCTTACAGCATAAAGTCTGGAAATGCATTCAGCAGTCACTCAGTTGTACTGAGCAACTTCAGCATACTGCAGACAACAGACTGAATAGCACACTGCTAAACAACTAATTGTATATTGTTATTAAAACTAATCTTTGTACATATGTCTAATTTTTTTGCACTCTATGCAAGATGATTCAGTAACTGCATGCTTTCACAGATAATATAGCAATGAAAACTAAAAACTAGAAAAAACTCACACACCATAATAACCATGCAGGCATAATTAGAAACATCCTTAACTTACACTTATAACACATGCATCTTTGGGGTGGCCATCTTTTGTTACATAACAACCAATGGGAAATCCAGGATTGCAAAACCACTGATTATCTTCCACCTCATAACACCATGTTACAGGCATATTGTCTATAATCCTAGAAAAGGTTGACAACAATATTTGTATATTACATTAATTAAATATCTCATAAAATATTTAAATACTGTACTGATAAATTAGCAGTAAAACAAAAACACAGTAGATCAGTACAATCCAACAACTTTTTAAAAGCACATCATATATATAAAAGCAAACTCTGTTAAATGTCTTTGAGAACAGAAAAATCTGAACTTGGCACCAAAAAATCCTGTTTGGTGCCATGTTCCTCCCCAAGGAAGCATGTCAAACTAGGATGGGAGAGTATTAAAAATGCCTATACTTTGCCAATCTTTAGACTGAATGGGCATTCAGAGAAGAGAATGCAGTATTTAAAAAATCTTATCTGCTGCATGTACACTCTGCCTTTCCTCCAGTGAGCTTTAGGGTGCACCCATGGCTCTCTTCCTCTCCACCTATCTTCACAACAATCTGGAAGGTTAACTGAGAGATTGCAACTGGCCCAAGATCAGCCAGTAACCTCCGTACAGTAAATCAAATGGGAATTTAAACCTGGGACTCTCATGGCCTTGTTCAACATTCTAATCCAGGATAAGCAACATATGTCTCATGATTGTATTGGCCCCTTGGGGCCAAGGCAGTCCCCAGGATCCCCATACCCCAAATAAATTTAACTTTTTCTGGATTTTTTTTTTTTTTGCACAAAATACCCCCTGTGCCTTCTAGATCATGTTCTGAGTGGCCCCCAAAGCACCCTGAAATTTCCCCCAATCTTTAGGGTGTGCTTAAATCACGTGATCATACAGATTAGCAGTTCCATCAGATGTACACTTCAATATTTAAAATGCAGCATGGGAATTTAGCTAGTATGTTGTATCTCAAAATCATTCTAAGAAAACTGAGCGTATTATATTTTTCTGCATATAACCCATATTTCAAATGATTTTGCCACTAAATGCTTTTAAATAAGGCAATTCTCAAATATCTATTTAACTACGAGTTTAAATCAACTTTACAAACTCTCTTCATGTAGGACTCCTTGGAAACAGCATTTAACAAATGTATGGCACCACCCAATGAATCTACAAAAGCGAACACATTCAGATAATGCAGAACAGAGCTTCCTTAAGAAGCACATTTTCCTTCTTACAGATCCTATTGCTAAATTATGCCCTCTTAGTGAAGAAAAATTAACTTGCTGCTGTAAATTGTTGCAAGTGCTTAGAGACTCTGGGATGCTTATCAGGCACAAAAGCAGAACAATTTTCCGTCTCACTTCATTAATGAATTGTGGGAATCAAGGCTTGCATTCTACCCCAGCCTTTCTAGTAATTTTTCACTTAACAGAATGGCTAACTTTCCCCCACAACTTTCAGTCAAACTGCAGACATTAAAAATTCAACATGAACTCACCAATGATGCTGATAATTCAATAGCATACTCTTTTTCAAAAAATCTAGCATCTGTTTGTCATTGGCATTTTTCAGATCATATTCTTTTGTACAAACAAGCTTGCATTTCTCTTCCTTATTAAATGTAAACTGAAAAAGAAATAAGATAAGTTTAACAGGAAGTTTTCCCTTTAAGACACTGGATCCTTTCTGAGAAAGACAGCATATAAATATTTTATGTAAGTAAAAGTAAATAAATTCCTCACTCAAAGAAGACAACCACTAGAAAATTACTGAGATAGGGAACAGCTAAATAACAAAACAAACACAGATGAGGATGTCTTTCTGGTACCAAGTCAGTCTGTTATACAGACTGTTCAGTTAGTGCATCTAGTCAAGGTACAGTGTCTTTAACTATTCTAAATTGGTAAGTTTTTTCTTTCATAGTGGAAGGCAATCTGAACCAGGATTTTTTAAACCTCAACTGAGAACAAACATTCAGATTACAATTTCAGAAGGATTTATAGCTTATATAGGTTGTCTTCTTCTAAGGGCCAGACTTTCAAGCATATGGAAGCAGCACACATTCAAACCACATTCAAACTACAGTGGTGCCTCGTATAGTGAGGTTAATCCATTCCGGATTAACCTTCGCTATAGCGAAACATCGCTGAACGGGACAAAAAAAGCCATTGGAACGCATTAAACATCG